AGGGTGTCAAATGTTAATCTGCAAGCAATGCCATTTGTGTTCAGAGGACATTGGTGAGACTCTAGTTCTAGTTTTCCAGTCTTACAGCTGCATTTACCCTCCCTGATCCTCTTCCTTAGCTCCCTCTGCACAATTTTCAGTTCCTCTGTATTACCTGACCGAAAGATCCTCTTCTTCTCCTTCAATAGTACCTTTATATCAGGAGTAATCCACGGCTTGTTATTGGAAAAGCACCGTATGGTTTGGCTGGGTACAGCGTTTTGCACACAAAAGTTAAAATAATCCGTAATGCAGTGTGTCAAACTATTGATATCCTCCCCATGATCATTTATCAAAACATCCCACATGGTCTTTTCAAAACAGTCCCTCAATGCTTCTTCAGCCTCCTCCGACCATTTTCTCACTGTGTGGGTCACTACTGGCTGCCTGTGTATAAGGGTTTGTACACAGGCATGAGGTGCACCAGGTTATGATCAGATCTTCCCAGGGGTGTGAGAGGAGCAGAAGTGTATGCATCCTTAGTGTTTGCATACAATAAGTCCAATGTCTTATTGTCCCTTTTGTGGCAGGTAATATACTGTTCAAAAGTGGGCAGAATAGAGGACAGGGAGGCATGATTAAAGTCACCAGAGATGAGGAGGAAAGCATTTGGGTGCTGTGTCTGAAATCTGCTGATAACATTGTGGATATATTCACATGCAACATTTGCATCTGCAGATGGAGGCACATACACAGCTAATACAATAACATGTGTAAACTCCCTCGGCGGATAACCAGGTCTCATGCTAACTGCTAACAGCTCTATATTTTTGTCGCTGTATTGTTCTTTAACAGTGATGTGACCTTGATTACACCATCTACTGTTCACAAACACTATCAGTCCTCCTCCCTGCCTCTTACCGCTCTCCCTCGTCCTGTCCGTCCGTCTCATCTGGAAGCCACCCAGCACGATGTTTGTGTCCGGTGTTTGCTCCGTTAGCCATGTTTCCGTAAACACCATGACGCTGCACTCTCTGTACTCCCGCTGGTGCCGCGCTAGCACCTCTAGCTCATCCATCTTGTTAGAGGTCGATCTTACATTTCCCATAACAATAGAAGGAAGAACTGGATGGTATCGTCTTCTTCTGTTTCGTCTCCTTGCTCCAGCACGGCACCCTCTCCTTTTCCGCTTCAGCTCTCGGGGAATTCCAGCTCTTTCTCTCGGTAGCAGCGCCGGGCTGTGGAATGCTAACAGCTGATCCCTGGTGTAAAAAATGGGACCGTAGCTAGCTGCCACCTCCGTATTAATGACCTAGTGGGAATAATTAGTAAATTAAAAATCGATTTGATTCAATAAAATCAACTTGTTTATAAAATTCAAAAAAAAAGGAAAAAAAGGGGTATTAAAGTTGCAAGCAGCGATGGGCGGGCCCTTGCACCTGTAGCGCATCGGGGTTGGAGGCAGCCGCGTTGCATATTCTGCAGCTCAGCTGTGTGCATGCGGCCGGGGCTGCTTCTTTAAAGGTCACTTCCTGTTGCCAGCAGGTGGTGCTATGACTGTGGGATAATTTCGGCATGTACATGTGTTCAGGGCGGGACTATTGTATAACGTATAAATTTTCGTGCAGGTCTGAGGATGTACACTGAAGTTACAACAACTTCCTGTGTCATGGCGAATCATTGACGCCACGGACACGCCCATCGACGAAAATGCGCAGATAGCACAACTTTACATCGTCAATGCCTTTAGAAGGCACAGCAGAAATGTGAAGTGGATCCGACTAAATCACTAGGAGGAGTTAGTTAAAATACGTAATGAGTAAATCATCCAAAAATGGTGGTAAAATTAGAAATGGCTGACTTCCTGTTGAGTTTAGGGCATCGGTCCAGGAGACTTTTCTTTGCGTGTGGACATGGTAGATGTACCACAGAAATTTCGTACATGTCGGTCAAACGTGCGGCGGGGGCTGCTTCGTTAAAGGTCACTTCCTGTTGCCACGAGGTGGCGCTATGACTGTGGGTGAATGTCGGCATGTAGATTTGTTCAGGGCGGGACTGTTGTCAAATGTGTAAAATTTCGTGCAGATCTGGGCATTTACAGCCAAATTACTACAACTTCCTGTTTCATGGCGAATAAACGACGCCACTGACACGGGCATCGACGAAAACGCGCAGATAGCACAACTTTACATCGTCAATGCCTTTAGAAGGCACAGCACAAATTTAAAGTAGATCCAACTAAATCCCTAGGAGGAGTTCGTTAAAGTACGGAGTGTGTAAATCGTCCAAAAATGGCCGCCAAATTCAAAATGGCGGACTTCCTGTCGAGTTTAGGGTATGGGTTCTTGAGGCTTTTTTGTGCGTCTTGATATGATACACGTCCCCACCAAATTTCGTGCATGTAGGTTGAGCGTGGACGAGGGGCTAATTTTTTCCAATTTTCTAGGTGGCGCTAGCGTGCCATTTTGCCACGCCCATCCGCGAAACCCACAAAATACGAAATTTTTCACCAGTCCTGACATGCGTGCCAAATTTGGTGAGTTTTTGAGCATGTTGCGGCCCCAAAAATGGCGCTTACTTTGCAGAAAAAATTAAAAAAAAAACCCTAACAGTTTCAAGAGGGTCCTCGCACTGTTAGTGCTCGGGCCCTAAAAAGGCTCAAGCTGCTGTAAAAGGCTGCCACTACGTGCGGCGCCGGAAGAGTGAACTTTATGAGCCAAAATTCCTTTTGGTTCATATTTACTAAGTGATATATTCATGATCTAATTTCCCAAAGCTCGACGTCTCCTTTCGAGCTCCTGCTTAAAACCCTCTAAATCCCGGACTCGCCATGTCCTCTACTACATCTTCAATGATGAGCTAAATGAAGCCTCTGTCAATGAGGTGATTTGCTGTGACTCTGTATTTTCATTTTCAAACCACCAATGGCCTCTGAAAATGTTGTCCCACTTTACAAGAGCGTCTATTTTAGAAACAAATGCTTTGACTTCCGCTACAAGGTACACCTCCAAACCACACCATCAGAGAGAAACGTCTGCAGACCTCGCTTTGCGAACATTAAGGCCATTTATATAATACAAAGGGCTGTCAATGTTTTTATCATTATTTTTTACAGTTATTAAACATCTGTAGATATGGTTACCTAAAGACACTCTCTCATATTCTCTCTACAATCGGCTGCTATAGTTTAAGAGGCCTAATAATAGAGTTTTCGCTCATAGTCGTGGTTTGACTTCAGCTCTGTTTCTGTCCTGTGAGTTTAAACACAGTAGAGGAAATATTTATGCCTTTTTTGCATCTTTAGTTTCATAAACCTTAAAATATCATCAAAAGAGCACAGATTCACAGTGAAATAACGTGCCTGTCCTCTTCATTGACTTCCCCATCAAATCCATCTGTGTTCAGGAAGGCCAGAATGAAGCACTTCTCGTTTCTAAAAGTATTCACTTTCATTCTGATAGTCTCCTTTTAGAGAAGAAAATAACATGTTTAAAGCAAACAAAGAGACACATTTAAGATATTTCAATTATTTTGCTACTTTCAAAACATCAGAGAACACAATGAACATCGCCTACAAATGAAAGTGAATCCTGTCACACAAAGTGACACAGATAAAGAGATTTTGATTCAGGTCAGATGGACTGATGATCGGCCACAACAATCACACTGGACTTGAAATGTAGACAAATCACTGCAAGTCTTCTGTGTGAAATATGATGATGCGTATAATGACAGCAAAGGGGTAGAAGATTATTATATGATAATGTTACAGAAATAACGGCAAACAAATTGGATAACCTGTTAATTATTTAAATCTTCCTGTTATTGCAGCAATATTTCAAATGCATCCACTTTTTAGCAACAAGCTATCGGTAGCGTTATTTGCCTTTGCAGATCAGTGCTGGTCACACAGAGGTGAAAGTGTTCGCCTCGACAGCTCCTTTCTCCCTGATTTCAGACACTCTTTCTTCTGCTTTCAAGATGAGGCTTTTGGTCTCTGAAATGACTGTAATTACAATGGCTTGTTATCATTGGGGTCAGACACAGGTTTAATCTAACACGTTCACTAAATACAGCTTTATACAGAATAGCATTTCTATAAATTCTCAAACATTGCGATCTGCTTGCGATGTGATTAGCTTGATGCTAATTGACCTATGGCTAAGCCACGCCCTCAAACGCGATGAGCCAATCACAGTGCGCAGCTAACCCAATACACTCGGACATTCTCTGCTTCCACGTCCATTGAAATGCATTGCAGTTAGTCAGTTTTCATTCGTTTTTTCTTGTCATTTTAAGTTTAAAATGGTCAAACTGTGTGCATGGGGTACATGCAACTCCGACACCCAAGGCTGGGCGACGGTGTGTATTTTTTACCCTTTCCCAAGCCACATCTCAACCGAGATAACTAAGTGTCTGCTCTGGATTAAGTTATGTGGCAGACCACAACACCAACTAAACGTGGATAAATTAAACAAAGATGTCTACATCTGTGATTAGTCAACAACGCATTTGAACGTTATTTTTAAAATCTCTAATGTAACATTAAGCTAACATTAGCCTAACATTAGAAAATGTTAACGTTAGCTTCTAGCTGCATTGTGCATCATGTCACTTAGCTTCATTAACGTGTAAATAACTGAGATAACAAATGTTAACAATGTTGTGCTGAAAGATTCATGTAAATACTGTAGCACCAAACGCTGATGCGGTTTATCGGTGTGTGTGCGTCACACTCGCTCTGTGTGTGAGGGCCTTGACAGCCGTAGTCCTATAGTTGTCACGTGGTGATTTCACTCTGTATTCACTGTCTGTAATGTGTGGCTGTGTGAAGTATGAATTGTGAAGTGCGAGAACAATAACTGGAAAAACTTTTTCATGTGCTTGATGATCAGATCTGAAACAACTCGCATACACCAAAACACAAGCTAATATCTCCGAATGGATCTGTCTTTTTTCTCTTTTTCATGTGTGTAGAGTTTTGACTCCTCCTCCTCCTTTCTTCTTGAAGTGTGAAAGTACTGTTTAAACACAGGAAGTGTGTGTGTTTTATCACACAGCGCTGTTAAATCAGTCTATTAATGTGTCAGTATGGGCTCCAGTGCACTGCCTCTCATCTGTGAGTGTTTGATCATATTCTTTACTATCTTCTTTTTTTTCTGTTTCTTATGCAATGTATTCAGCTGAAGATGTGATAATATAATGACTGTTGTGTAGGAGAGTCTATCAGCCTCACTGTATTCTTCATTGTTCAAATTCATTGTGATGATATGTTGTGTGTTGATCAGACAAACAGTTTGATGATGCATTTATCTCTGTGATAATGCTTGTGGAAGATGGAGGCAATGTGTGCGTGCATTTTTGCTTATTTAGTTGTGATGTTTCTTCCTATTTGAAGTAGTTCAGCTAAATCAGGGGCCATATTCACCAAAACATGTTTTCTTACGACTACGAGTTCTCCTAAATAACAGTAAAAGTTCTTAGTTAATAGTTTTCTCTTAAAACCTATTCACAAACATGCTGAGATCAACTTTTACAAAGGAAGAGAGAGAGAGGAGAAGAGAAAGGGCGGGATTGACCTCGTTGCTATGGATGATGTCATCACGCTTGGCTAGAAACTATGACCACAGTGATTGGCTAATGGGGGAGGGGTCTCTCTCAGTGATATAACCACATACATATTGTAAGAACGAGCCAACAAAGTATCATGTTCCCATATTCAAATAAAGATCTTAAAATATAGGCTAGGGGTTCACTGTTAATATACTCAGATAATTGTGAGACTCTTACAGTTCTGGGGTGGGGGGTGATGGGGAAAGGTTCACAAGCTGGAACTCGAACTTCGGTAAACCGAGCTTCCCACAAGGCTATTGATGCAGACGACGGGGCAATGACTATGTTTTGCTTGTGCACCAGTAATGGTTAGATTAGATTAATAATAATTAGACGGACATGGCACCCTTTATTGTCAAAATAACACGTTTCAGTTATGGGTAGGTTTAGGTCTGGGGTGGTGTTAGGGTTAGACCACTAGGAGGCGCCTTCTGGCGCATATATATTTGGATCTCAAGTTGACGCTAAAGGGTGCCATGTGCGTTGGATGAATACGCATTGGTGAAAGCGTCAGTATATGACGCCTTGCGATGAGAACAGGCTGGAACAACCAAGGGGGTAATCAACGCATTCTCATCCTTTAACGTCATATAGAACGCTATATGACAAAACGGCGCTATACTACGCACATGGCACCCGTTATCGTTAATATAACACGCGCTGTGAGGGCTAAGTTTAGGTGTGGGGTAGGGTGTGCATGTCATATTCACGCTAAAGGATTTATAACGCCTTGGGTTCGCGTGTTATTTTAACGATAAAGGGTGCCATGTGCGTAGTATAGCGCCGTTTTGTCATTTAGCGTTCTATATGACGTTAAAGGATGAGAACGGGCTGGGGTAATCCATCGACCGGAAGTTGAAGCCTCGCGGGAGCCGCCATCTTGTAGCAGAACTTCACTTGCGTTAGCATTTCCATTGACTCCCATTCATTTTTGCGTCACTTTGACAGCGAATAACTTTACATTTGAGGCGTTTGAAGACCCCATTTGTCCTTTATTTATTTCTAAAGAAACACGACAATGTATAAAATGCTCCATTACCTTGTAGCTTATGTTATGGCCCCGTAGAAGCAGTTTTTTGTAAAAATAGGCTATTGCGACGATTGCGTCAAAACCAAGCGACTCTCTGTCGCACAGTAGAGAGATTACCGTATGGACAGGAGGAGAAGCTCACGCGCAATCGGGGAAACGTGGAGGCAAAATGACAAAATAATTAATCAGAATACCTAGCAGAATTGTCTCCTTCTCCTCGCTCATGACAGCTCCTATTCACACTCTCCGCCTCTGCGTGTTTCGGAAGGGAATGATTCAGATTTCTCATGCCACAACACTAGAAGACAGATGGGTAACGGGTTGCTCACGTCACATCTACGTCGTTAAGCTCTGTTTGCAACATGACATCATGACTTTTGCGTAAACATACACGCCACTTTCGAGTCAGGTGGCGTGTTATCTCTATGCATTTTGAGCTATCCGCGTGTATGCGTGTATGTCTACGCCATTAACGTCCGCGTAGTTCCGCGTGTCTGAACACGCAGTCAAATCTCCAGTCATAAATGCCATTAACCCCAGTGACGGTTAGGTTTAGGGACGGGGTTGAGGTAAGTCATATGTTTATATAATGCTAAGTCAACGGCGTTCATAAACACGCTGAAAGGCGATTATGCGTGTTGATAGCACGGCAAAAATGGAAATACGAATTGGCGTGGCATACACACGCTACTTCATGAGATCAGTCTGCTGTTTGAGTCTGCGCGTCAAGAACGGAAGTGTTAAAAAATCTTCAAAAACGGGCTTCACTTGTATCAATGGAGTTCCAATGAGATGCTTTGTCCACTTCTTATACTGTCTATGGGAGCAACACACGGTATCCGTGTAGAACCGAACACAAGCGCACTTTGGTCAGAGTGGTAATCATGTGATTAAAGGAGTAGTTCACATTAAAGTGAAAATTATCCCATGATTTACTCACCCTCAAGCCAACCTAGGTGTATATTACTTTCTTCTTTCAGACGAATATAATCTGGGTAATATTAATAAATTACAACATGTAGGAAGCAACAGGACGTCTCTGAATGGTTAGTTGATGAATTTATGTTGCTGATGTGGAGTTAACTATCTTCATTTAGCATATTCTGTCAGGATCATCTATCGCTCGTATAGGAAGGAACTGTTATGAGATGCACACAGAGTGACTACAACAGCTCGTCCGCTTCTCAAAATGGACTGTGCGTTCAGGGGGCGGGGTTTATATAAATTGTAGGGCAGTAATTAGAGGAATGTTGTGTAGTTCCTATCAGCCGCTTGTTGTAGTCCTTAAAATGATTTCTTTAAAAGCAGATATCTCCCTTTGCTCTTAACTTTGAGAGTTGTAACTTTACAGATGTTGTTTATGCTCAAACAGTATCATTACACACTAACTAAAGTTAGAAAAGTGAAATCATAATCAACCAGCCCTTTAAATGTACTCTCCATCAGAGACTCAGAGAGCTTGAGAACAGTGACCTGACACACAATCAGCTTCTCTATCATTTCTCGTTCTCTCTGTCCGTCTTAAGAAATAATTGCAAAACCTATTTAGACACTTTAATCACTCATAGATGTATCTGAGTTTCACTGCATTTGACACAGTTGATCAAACCAAGTGGGATCTTCCATCAAATGACGCTTTTCTCAGAACTAACTTCTCTTTTCTGGGACACTTTACAGTTATTGCTAACATGCTGGCCTCAGTGTCATTTTTTTATTGGTTGTATGAAGTCAGTTCAAACTGGCAGAATAACCACAGGAGTGTCTGAACATTTGAACAGCATTTTGTTTAATTTTTTGAATGCTATATTTTGTGAAATGTTTGGAGTGAAAACTGTTCTTCCTTTAAATATATATACACTCTAAAAAATGCTGGGTTGTTTTAACCCAACTTTGGGTCAAATATGGACAAACCCGAAATGTTGGGTTAAAAATGTAATGTAAAAATTTAACCCAACGGCTGGGTTAGTCCATATTTGACCCAAAGTTGGGTTAAAACAACCCAGCATTTTTTAGAGTGTATATATATTTCATGTTTATCAACAATCTAAAAGAATTCAGATCATAGGAGCCGATTGGAACCTGGAACCTCGAGTCCCCGGCAAAAACACAAGATATTCTCCATTCATTCTGTCTAGAATCACATTTCCATCCTTCCACAACACAGGAAGTTCCTGAGGTTTGCCTTCGGGGCCGAGGCGCATCATTACAGGGTTCATCCGTTCGGTCTAGTTTATCTCCCCGCACTTTCACGAAATGCATGAATGCAGCACTAGTGACTCTGAGGCTTCAGGGCATTCGCATTCTCAGTTATATTGACGATTGGTTGATTTTAGCTCAGACGGAGCAGATGGCGATTCGGCATCGAGATGTCGTCCTCGCGCGTATCAGAAAGTTGGGGTTGAGGCTGAACGCAAAGAAAAGTGTACCATCGCTCTCAGAAGACCACTTTTCTAGGCGTCGTTTGGGATTCGGTCACGATGCGGGCAAAAATAACAACGACCTGACCATTTGTTTTCGGACGACAACTATCCTGATTAATGTCGACTTAACCTCCTATCTATCCATACGTGCAGACTTGCTTAGACTTTATGTTCTCTTAGCCAATCAGAAGTGTCCAACATGTCTGTACTGATGTCATGCTTGCCCTTGGAAATGGTGTAACTGGTGTGAGATTTTGTGTAATGTGGAGTCTCTGGCCTACGACCTCCTCGTGAGACTTTGAAGCCTGGCTTTACCGATGAAACTGGAAACTCTTCTTCAGTAAATGTTTATCTATTTGATAGATCCTCATGACTCCTGGGGCCTGTACCATGAAGCCGGTTTAGGTGGCTAGCCAGCTATGTTTCAGTTTAGTTTGTGGCAACCCTGTGTTTTAGGTACCATGAAAGTGGTTTGGCTTTTAGCAGTGTTCATCGCCATAGTAACTTACACTCCACGGCTAACCTGGTTCAGGGCAGGTTATGTTCCAGGTAAGAGGTTGCAAACCAAACTTGGACCAATCAGCTGTGAGCAAAGTGACACATGACATGTATGACACGATAAAGTCACTCCACAGCAAATAATTTTAAAAGACAAAATCATGGCTTTTAGTGAATAAATTTGTATGATTTAGAAATTATTTCTGTAATTATTATATCCTAAAACAATTATTATTACGCAGATTTTAAATGAATATATATGTATATATAAAGGCAACATAAATACACTTTAGAATCAATAAATGAAGCTATAAAATGACAACATGTGAGCTTAAATGTTCAATTCTCTCTATACCTTAATCAACATAAACTAACTTCACAACTTTTTCTTGCACTGATATACAGTAGCGAGACTTTCTTTTAGTTGTCCTCTTTCATTGACAGCTATTTTCTTCTTGATGTGTACATTTGTTTAAATTCTTAATATTTTAATACTTTTATTTAATACGTGAATTGCGGTGCTTCTCTCGTGAGAAATTAATTTAAATGAGTTTTGAATGAGTTTCACTCTTTCTCAGCATGTGATTGGCTGTTCGCTACTGATGTCACACCTAAACTCCTTAACGGAGGATCAAAGCCAGAGTTGACAGAGAAAGTGGATGATCAGCATTATGGTACCAACAAAGCCTGGTTGGATTGGTTTGGTTTTGTCAACTCGAAACTAGTCCTGCAACCCTGAGTTTGTTCAACTACCATCATGGTACAGGCCCCAGGTCTTCTTTCATCATATCTGGTCCTGGGTCTTAAGCTGTTACCCCATTAACAGTTTTGAACTTTATTCAACAATTTCTTGTCTTCCACGTAAGTCTCCTCAGCTGTTGGCGTAGTGTAAACAGTGCAGCGCTTCCGGGTTCGACGTCAGAACGGCGGCTCATTATTGGCTAACTCCTGCGTCAGCATCACACGCATGTGTCGAGGTGATCATGTGACCAGCATCGGCCACGTGGACTATTTTATCGATGTCTTTATTACCTTTCTGGGCCTTGAAAGTTTAATTTACATTTCTGTCTAGGGGTCAGGAGCTCTCAAATTTCAGCAAAAATATCTTAATATGTCTTCCGAAGATGAAGTTGATTTTTGAGGGAACTAACCCTTTAAATGCTGAGAATAATCCATCAGATCTCATCTGAATGATCTCATCTGAATTTCAGTTCATGTAGAATAAACTCTGTTTCAGTGTGTGATTTACATTGTGTTGAATGAATGGAAAAGCTTCATCTGTGTTTCTTCTGCTTTTAGTGCTGATGTCCCTCGTTCACTCCGGACACACTGCAAATGGGGTGGATGATGATGCTGAAGGTACTATATTTGCATTATTACAGTATCTCTGGGGACACACTTAACGACTAGCTGAAATAATCTAAGACTGAACTGAACACACTTACAGACTGCAGCAGATTTTAAACACTGACTGAAAGTAACTTCAGTCTCGGACGCAGCCCGTTTGGGCATGATCAGTCATGAGTATCAAATTACATTCATAATTGGACTTACATTTAATTGTGTCCCCGGATTAAATTGTATTTACAGTATTTAACCAATGTGGATTGTGTTTTTATTTTTATTATTTTTTTATGTTTATTGTCTACATGGATCAGATCAGGACCCACATTTTGTCTCTTTGCTGATGTTTATTCCTAATTTTGCAGTCACACATTTTCACACGGCATCATTCTTGTGTAGTTCCTCGTGCTGCTGAAACTGCTGTCTTGCAGTTGTATAGTTTAGTGCAAACACAATCTTGCAGTTGTATAGTTTAGTGCAAACACAATCTTGCCGTTGTATAGTTCAGTCAATGATTTCCAAAGATCCAAATTATTGACTCTGTCATTAAGATCGTGTGCACCAATGCTAAGCTTTTATTCATTTAGTGTGGTTGAATCTTGCTGACTGTAAACAGCCTCATCTACCGGCCAAGGGGTGCGTTTCATAGTTGCTAACCTGTTGTAACCATATATATTTACTCTATAAGTTTAATTCATTTTCAATCTTATGATATGAAATTTCCTATTAATGTTATTTACACACTCTTAGAAAAGATGTGTTAAAAATGACACAAGCCGTGTTAACTTCTTACTTGGGTCCGTTTTGCACCACGTGTTCATTTTAACTCCTTTACTGTTAATGAGTTTAACACAGTAAATGTGTCAGAAAGGTTATCACAACAATGCAAACATAATAGTAACATAAGTGCTGTCCTTGGTTACAAACATTGTATAAAAAAAAACATATCAAAAGCCCAAAACAATATGTTAACATTTGACAAATTTATGTAAAGACATTTGTTTTTATTTTATTGTCAAAGATATATATATTATAATGAAAGATAATAAAAATGAATTAATAAAACTTAAATAAATAAATATTGAATACTTTATTGAATACTCTGAATACTTTCCATACCCACTATATATATATATATATATATATATATATATATATATATACTGTATATAAAGCAGTAATTGGAACAAACATGCGGGCTAACATATATGTCAATATTCTATTTAATTTTAACAATAAATGCAAACATTTTCAATGTAATCAACACAAGCAAACTAAATCTTTAATTTAATAGTCTATTTCTCAGTTTTGAGTTCATGACAGTGATCTTGAAACTGCAATTCTTTTTCAATTTTAACACCAGCAGAGACAGAGTATTCAGAGCCGTCTCAGACAGTCACTCTCACATGTGACATACAGGGAGGAGGAGAAAACATTCAGTGGAGATACAGCTGGATTAAAGATGGTTCAGTCATCTCACGCAGCACTGAGAGAGACTACAATATCACATCTGTGTTTGATGGTGATAAATACAGCTGTGAAGCAACGAGATCATGGGACAGTGGTGGTGTTAAAGTAACTGTATCAGGTGAGTCTTCATATTCAACTGTTTTAATGATCATTTAAAATCCATATTTGTGGTTCATCGCTTTTCTTATGCTCTTCTGTATCAGCCACATCTGTTCTTACGACAGCAATTCAGCTTTAGTTTTCATTCCCTCAGATGGAGAACTGATAATTGAATATACTCAGTATAAACTGTTTTCTGCTTATTTCTTTAAAGCCTCGTTTAGCTTTTTCGAATAGCTTTCATGCAGGGATGTTTTTTTAATGTAAAGGTCTGCAAAGTTTTAAAGATCAAAGTGCATAAATAAAGGTATTGTCTCCTAAAGAAATAGTCTGATTTGACACTCAAACACTTTAGTTCAGGGGTCAGGATCCTTTTTGACTAAAGAGCTATTGACTATTTTAGGATACTTTGCTCGTCCGTGTTTCACTCGAAGCGCTTACACAGAAATCATCCTGTCAGTAGCAGATTCAGTTCTCTTTCACAGCTTATTGCTTCTAATATTTCTTTATTAATGACTTTGGACACTTCTGCTGACTGAAAGGATTGAATTTTTGGACTGGATTGTGGGACTGAAATGAAGTGCTTTTAATTGTGATAAGGATAATCTTGTAGTTAAACGCACTGGTAGCCAATGAAGTCTGCGTAAAAAAAAGTAATGTGGGAAGATTTCATTATGTTTGTAAGGACCCTAGATGTGGAAATCTGAATACCGTATTTCCTCAAATAAAACCGCTATTCAAATAAACGCCGGGGCTCTGATAGTGGCTGGGGGCGTGGTCAACACGGACAAATAAAGGCCGGTCTCAAATTAAGGCTGGGGGAAAATAATGTGGATGGGGACTGTAATCTCCTACGTGCCTTTCATATAATGTGTGTTCAAGTTCATCGTTATATACAGGTGCCGATAGTAGATGGCAGTGGCTACATTGGATTTAACACACGTCTCATTTAGTGCTGGTGACGAACTTTTCTAGCTACAGTACTACGTCTGGGACTGCTGTATATTCTTAGGTTTCCAGAAATCATTTTTTTGTAGGACCAATCAGTAAATAGAGGGAGTGGCGGGGTTCGGGGAAAGTTTGATTTTCCAGCTCACTCCGCTAGTGGTGAATGAGTTAGATAAGGCGAACGATAGGGATGCAAAGCTGATAGTTGTTGTCGTCCAGTAGCGGAGTGGCAATCGGGAGAGTCGGGAGTTTTCCCGGTGGGCCGGTAGTGTTACGAGGCCGCGAGGGCCGGCCCGGTCTGATAAAATGTATTTATTGGAAGTTCGCCATGGCCCAAGCTAAGGGAAGAAAACAATTTTTTTTTAACATTTTTTATAACAGAGCATATATTTGCACTAAATGAATGTCTTTACAGCAAAACGACACCCGTCATAGAACAGCCCCAGTGGCGTAGGTCGTAGGGCGTGAAGTGTTTGAATGCAGCTTTTTGATGCGCTGAACGCGAGTTCGAATCCGCCTTGCCGAACTCTCTCTTCTCCCTTTTCCCAACACCGATATGTAAAATGTAAAACCTAATTTTATATTTTATGTTATATTTTGCCAACGAACTAAAATTGAAACCATATGGCGTTGCGCCATTATAATAACTGACATTAGAATAGCATCCAGTTTGTTCTGCGTGATTACTTTGCTCTCGCGATCATCTGGTGTTTTCTCCTAAATAAAAGCTCAAGGGTTTATTTCTTGCAAGTGAAGAAATTAGGACAAAAGTATTTTAATTGTCCTATATTATAGTGTAATGTAGGTTAAAATATACTTTTGAAATACTCATTTTCATTTACACATTTATAGGCTATAAATGGATTTTACAGTACGTCATAGGAATAATTATAAATCATTATTACATTATTATAATAATTGTTTGGCATCCTAAAACACCATTGATAATGTAATGTAGACTGAGACTCTCATAACTAAAAAAATATTTGAGCCCTCTTTATTGTCCTGGTACAAATTAATGTTTTTTCTTTGTTCAACGAGCAGCTCATGGGTCTTAATTTCGATCTCTCAGAGAGCATGAGATTGATGCATTATAACCTTAAAATGTCCAAAATTTTCTTGCGGGGGAGCATGCCCCCGAACCCCCCTAGAGGCACAGAGTCCACCCAACTACTTTTAGAAAGTACTATGGGAAAGAACGACCATTTATGAACTTTACTCCAGCATACTAGTACAACAAAGTTCCCTTTAAATCAGTAACACTGTAAATGCTATTGGCTAATCGTGCCGGCGACGAGGGCCGGTGGTCTACGAAATTTCCCGGTAGATTTTTTGGTCCCACTCCGCCCCTGTTGTCGTCTCCTCTCTTCTTGCACTAACAGAGGACCAAATGAAGACATTTTGTGACATTTTGGATGGACGCTTTAGCCTGGTGTTCGGAAGCCCCGAGTAAACTGTTGAATATGCACTCAGGAGTCATCATGTCAGTAGCTCAGATTCCCAACAGTGAATTTAGTGATTCTTGTGATGAATATCTCACTTTGAGCCCCTTTGTGTACTCGTGCAGGAGCATGGTTGCTGTGTCAGTTTTACATGTTGTAAATCTTACAAATCGGTTGTAATTTAAAGGTGCATTGCGCAACATTTCATGTTAAAAATTGACGTTTTCTAACCCATACATGCTTAAACAATCATCTGAATGAGCCCTTCTCTGATCACTGATCTCTATAATAAGATGGATTCGGGCTCAAATCTGGGGCAGCAGTGGCTCAGTGGTTCATGTGGGTTGTCTACAAAGCGAAAGGTTGGTGGTTCAATCCTCGGTTCCACCTGACCAAGTGTCGAGGTGTCCATGAGCAAGACACCTAACCCCAGCTGTGTGTGTGTGTGTGTGTGAGACACCTAACCCCAGCTGTGTGTGTGTGTGTGAGACATGAATGGGTGAATGTGAGGCAAATGTAAAGCGCTTTGGTGGCCATTAGGTCTATGAAGGCGCTATATAAATGCAGTCCATTTACCATTTACCATCTGAGACTGGCCATAATGTCATGCGCGTTCACGCCCGCCTGGCTATGTGTGTATTCGCCGCCATTCTCCGTATCAGAGAAGACAACTCGAGCGACACAACTTTAGTCAACTTTCCACAAAAGTAGAAGATGGATTCAAAGGGGCTGATTAGCCTACACCTGGTCACTTCATGCGTTTTCTGTGATCGGATAGCTATTCGTTCATGAAAAGACCAGGTTGACATCTCGTTGACAGACATCTTTTTAAACATATTACTCTGATCATTCCGACTTCTTGTTTCCGGCCGGTTTCGGTGCATGACATACGTCACGACCACATGTTAGCGATTGGCTATGGCAGATCCTGTAGATTCAATAGTTTTGAACTTTACCAGAGAACCCGCCTACCAGGAAGTAAACGTTTCTCAATGGAGAGAGGCCAGACTCTAGAACTTTTCAACAACTTTATTAAAACGAAGTTGAGGAGCGTGGCACCAAGACTAAAAAAATTTATTTAAAATTGAAACAAAGAGTTTTAAATTATGCAGAGGAAAACTCTGGTGAAAAAGCTGCAAAACATTTCGGCATTGACCCCAGGAGAATCCGATACTGGAAGAAACAGAAGGATGAGCTGACAAGATTAGCTGATGAGAGCAGAGCACGGCTGGCTGGAGGTGGGAGGAAAAAAGTTAGCCTGGATCTAGAAACAAAACTGCCAGATTGGATCTATTCCATGCGGGACAAACAACCGAGTATCGAGAAAATGATACAAAATAAAGCATTGGAGATCTACAATTCTGTGAGTGATGGAGGAGATTTGTTTGTGGCTAGCAGGGATTGGTTACAAAGATTTCTACAGCGCAATGGTTTCGCACTTCGACGTCGCACCACCATGGCCCAGAAAGACCCTTTATATATATAAACGCGCTGAAACTTGGATGGTTATAGACCTTATTCAGAGCAGCGCCATGACAGGTATGAAAGTGAGGCTGTGAGGGATAGACTTACACTCTAAAAAATGCTGGGTTGTTTTAACCCAACTTTGGGTCAAATATGGACTAACCCAGCCGTTGGGTTAAATTTTTACATTATATTTTTAACCCAACATTTCGGGTTTGTCCATATTTGACCCAAAATTGGGTTAAAACAACCCAGCATTTTTTAGAGTGTACCGTGTTTCCAATGGCATCCGCTGTAAAAAGCTGAATAAAGCGGCTAGATTACTTACAATTTTCCACAGCTTACATTGTCGGGAGTTTTTTGTCAACTGTAATTTCTTTGAAAGATATTTTTCCAGTGTTTCATGAGCAGAACAATCTGAAAACACATTAAATAACAGTACAGCCCATTGAAGAGATGCATGTCTGTCCCTCACAGCCTCACTTTCATTCTCATTAAAAATCAAAGATGGCGCTGCCGTGAATAAGGCGTATTGGTCCTCTTCTTCTTCTTGTAAGATTCCAGCAGTGTAGATGCTGATGAGCCTATTACTGCCCTCCACAGGTCAAAGTTTGAACTAAATTCTTACATATAATCCTGTGTCATGCAAGAATTGAAGAACTGAAAAAGCCTGAACTCCATGTCCTGACAGTTTACCCAAAGAGTACATTTCTTTCTGCCCTATACTTTCTGTATTCAGGAAAACATGCCCTACAGTCTCAAGACTCCCAACTTCACAGAAGCCAGAAACATGCTTCCCTACAATGCACAAAGAATGATTTAACCCACAGTGCCCCAACCTCAATCTGCACATTTTAACTGAGTCCCTGCGGACAAAATGTGACATGGGCATCTTTTCCTAACTTCAGGTTCAACTTCAATACTCCTAATTTCCTTTCCTCACCCTCTCTGCCATGCTTTTGTTAAGCCCTCTTTAATTTTCTCTCTTAATTCCACTCTCCCTAATAATACATGGACATCTACTTCTCTAAGCTCCCCTTTGCAATGTTATCCACCCGTTCATTCCCCCTCACCCCAGCGCACAGGTCAACCCAGCAAAAACTGATGTAGCATGTTGACGTTGACAGCAGCGCGGATTGATAGAAATGGATAGAAAATAGTGCCG